GTCTACTCCTTCTCACGCTTCCTACTGCCCCTGCTCCAAATCTCATGAAGCGCGGTCATCTTCGCGCCCTAAGACAGCGCGAACAAGTTACCTTCGCGCCCTCGCGCAACGTTCGGTGGAACACGCACATGATGCAGACCTGGCTGCGGGCGCTCGCCGTCAAACGGGACGGCAACAACGACGAAAACGACGTTGATGAGGAGGAGGGTGACGGTGGTGAGTAAGATACGGGTGGGGGGCTCCTCCCTCGCTCCTCCTCCGCCCTCTCCTCCTCCCTCCCGTCTCCTCATTCCTTCCTCTTCTCCTTTTCTTCCTCCCTCCCTCCTGCCTCTCCTTCTCCACCTTCTTCTCCTTTTTTACTTCCTTCCCTGTTCAATTCCTTCCACGGCAGGGCGGGGGGTGGGACGATGCGACGGACAACAAACCGAAACAGGTGTACACTCGTCGTATTTGATGTCGCATCCCCTCGTAACGTTACCTCAAACGTAGGAGTTCGTCTTCCCCATCATTGTATACAGGGCAGGGGGTTGGGTAGGGTGGGGCGGTGGAGGGAAGTGGTAGAAAGAGAAGAGGGTGGTGGGTGGATGGGACCGGGATGGGAACGATGATCTGTCAACAGATGAGATGGCACTCGGATGGGATAGGGGGATACGGGGAGTGGGGCGAAACGCCCAACCCTGGCCAACTCGGACACGAGAATTGCGAGGACGTCTCATGCGAAGCGGCCCGAAACCACAAACTTTGTCTGATGATGCCTCTGCTCCAGCCTCCCTCGGCCAGAGCTAGCTACTATCACAACAACACCCCGTTCGGGGAAACAAATCCATTCTGAACTCCGCAGGCCACGGCAATCCCAAAAACCTTTCCTCCCCTCCCCCTCTTCCTCCTCCTCCTTCTCACCCTCTTCTCCCTCTGCCTCCTCATCCTCGTCCCCCTCTTCTCCTGCAACGCGGTTATACCTCCTCCCTTCCCCCTCCCTTCCTTCCTTCCTCCTCCTTGTCCGCCACCTCATCCTCCTTCCCGTTCTTATTCGTCTTGCTCTCTGGTTTCCACCCATGTACTCCTTCACCTCCATCTACAGCGCACGGAGGGGGCGCGATGCGACGGATAACAGGCTGCCGCTGAAGTACGCTCGTCCTATTTCGTGGCGCACCTCCTGGGTGTCACCAGCCTCCCCCCCGAGGGCGAGGGGGGCGGGGGGGCGGGGGGACCTCCTCGTCATCCAATGGCACGGGGGGGGGTGGAGGAACAGGGAGGGAATTGTGAGGTCGGGGAGGCCTCGGGAGGAAGAGTGTCAGAATGATGGGGTGAACGAAAATCATGGGAAGGAAGGGATGTGGGGAAGAGTATGAAGATGAGGAAGGGCAAGACGAATATGGGAAATTGGAATGGGGGATGGGGAAACGTAGTTTGATGTTGAGGACGGCAAGGCGGATGTTGTTGATGATGATGAGGATGAGGATGAGGAGGAATACTTCGAATAGGAGGATGAGGAATCTACTGAAGGTGATGATGGTGACGATGGGAGTGCGGATGCTGATGTTGATGAAGATGGGGGGATATGGAACAACAGCGAACAGGGGGGAAAAAAGGAGGACGGCGAGGAGGAGGAGGAGGAAGAGGGGGAGGAGGAGGAGGAGGAGGAGGAGGAAGGGGAGGAGGAGGAGGAGGAGGAGGAGGAGGAGGAGGAGGAGGAGGAGGAGGAGGAGGAGGAGAGGAGGGAGGAGGAATCGGAGGAGGAGGAGGAGGAGGAGGAGGAGGAGGAGGAGGAGGAGGAGGAGGAGGAGGAGGAGGAGGAGGAGGAGGAGGAGGAGGAGGAGGAGGAGGAGGAGGAGGAGGAGGAGGAGGAAGAGGAGGAGGAGGAGGAGGAGGAAGAGGGGAGGAGGAGAGGAGGAGGAGGAGGAGGAGGAGAGGAGGAGGAGGAGGAGGAGGAGGAGGAGGAGGAGGAGGAGGAGGAGGAGGAGGAGGAGGCGGAGGCGGAGGAGGAGGAGGAAGAGGAGGAGGAGGGAGGAAGGGAACAGAGGGAGGAGAAACGCAGGGAGTTGAGCAGGCGGGTGGAGGAGTAACCCCGAATCTTGGCGGGCTCTGGGGTTTTTGGGGCGCTGCGGGAAGGCGGTGCGCGCCGCTCTCGACCCCGCAAGCCCCGTGTAAAACCGCGCTTCCGAACCGTGCCGCTGTGCAACACATCCAGAAGTGCTGCAAAATCATCGGGGCGCCACGCTGCCACCGAGCCCGCCGCTCCCCTTCGCTCTTCGCCCCCTGCGTCGTCATCCCTCTCCTTCGCTGCCTCTGGCCTCCCCGCGCCTCCGTGATCTCGTCACCCCCCTGTTCTCTTTCCCACCATCCGCTCTTCTCTTCCTCGTCGTTCTTGGTCCTCGTCCTCGTCCCCTGTTTTGGCCGTCGGAAGCCTGGGCCCCCCACCCACAGCGCCCTGCTTCAAAACCTTGCAACAGCGGGGAGATCTTCACACGTTCCCGTTCCTTCTCTCCTCCTCTTTCCCCCCAGTTTTTCCTCACCCTCGTCCTTCTCCTCCTTTGAAGCGCGGTTATCTTCGCGCCCTAAGCAGCGCGCAAAAGTTACCTTCGCGCCCTCGCGCAACGCTCGGTGGAGCACGCACAGGACGCAGACCTGGCTGCGTGTGCTTGCTGCCAAACGGGACGCCGCCGACAACGACGAGGACGGGCAGGGGGGGCGGAGCAAACGATACAGGAGATAGGGAGAGGGATGAGAAGGAGAGGGATGTAAAGAGGGATATGGAGAACGAGGGGCGCAAAAAGGAAGGACTGACGAACTGTCTCCCTTGCGCTCCACCTCCCTCCCTTCACGGGCGCGTTGACGAATCGGCCGCTCGACGTCTCCGAGTTCTGACCAATGCTTCGAGGGGAGATCCGGCCGTGGCGCCAAGATGTCCCCGGGAAGCTGCCATGTAGCAAGAACAAGCCTGAGGCCCTGGGCTACGTGAGTTCGTCGACAATGGGCTTCGACCCCTTCCCCTGGGACTGGCTCTCCATCCCGAGGCGTCTTCTGACAGGCCCAGGGTCTGGCATGGGCCCCGAAGCGCCGAGACTTGCATGACGGCCGTCCGCCGCGACCTTGTCCGCGACGCGGCGAGGCCGTGAAGACGTCCGAAAGCCTCCGATGCCCTTCGGACGCCTCCAAGGATGCGTTCTGACCGGGGCGTAGAGGGGGGTCTGGCCGTGGCGACGCGAACCCTTCCCGGCTGCCTCCGGGAAGGGCGAAGCAACACCGAAGCAATAGACCTTCGAATCTCCGCCTGCCTCCCCTCTGAGAGGAAAAGGATAATGTGGAGGAGGAGGACACCTGGGCCCAGAGGGTGCTGGCGAGGCGCGACGACCGTCCTGCCGATACACCCGCGTCAATCTCTCCACAGCGGGCGTCAGGAATAGAGCTGGGAAGGAAGAGGAGGAGCAGGAGGAGGAGGATGAGGAGGACCAGTGTAAACCCAAGATTCATCAACGATGTTGGAATAGACCCTCGCAGCGGCCCCCCCCCCGCAAGAATGGCGCAGGTCCGAGGCGCAGCGGCTGCGGGGGAGCGAGGGGGGGCTGGGAAGGAAGCCGAACGACGCGCGGTGCTGATCAACCGGTTCTAGGAGTCCTCGAGCCAAACAGATTGGAGCCCACATGTACACTCCTAAGGAGCTTGGTGGAGCACGAGAAAGAAGCGCACACCACGCACCGCGCACCACACGCCACACACCACATACCACACACCACACACACCACACCACACACCACACAATACACACCAGACACCACGCAACACACACGCACCACACACCGCACATCACACAACACACATAACACACAACACACCATACACCACCACACAACACACAATACATAACACACAGCACACAGCACACAGCACGCACACACTCAACACGCACAACACACCACACAATACATAACACACACACAACGCACGACACGCGCACAACACACACAACACACCATATATAGCACACAACACACAACACACAGCATACACAACTCACAACACGCACACAACACACAACTCACAACACACACACACACCACACAACACACAATTATACACAAACAACAACACACAACACACACCGCACAACACACAACACACGACGCCCAACACACAACACACAAAACACACAACACACTCACACCACACACTACACACACTACACACGCTACACACACTACACACAACACACGCACACACGCACACTACATAACATTCACACAACACACACACGACACACAACATACAGCGCACAACGCACAACGCACAGCACAACATACAACACACAACACACAATACACACAATAGACACAGCACACAACGCACACCAAGCGGCAGTCGCTCTATGCCAAACGCGAGCACGACGGCAACGGTGATAGGGAGGGGGGAGCGAAGAGGGAGTGACAGACGGAGATGGAGAGGGAGGAGCATAAGAGGCAGAAAAAACGAGTCCAGAGCCTTGTTTCCCCCTGACTCCCCTCCCTCCCTCTCTCCTTTCCTCCTCGCTCCCTACCTCCAGGAACGCGTTGGAAAAATGGTTCCAGGACGTCTCCCTGGATGTGTCTGGGCAAAACTGCGACGGGAATCCAGTCGTAACGACGAGGGAACCTCCCGGAAGCAACACAAAAATCACGGACAACGATCAAAACCTTCAGATTCAAGCCCTTCGCAACCTTCTTCCGACCCAAACGCCTCTCCTGGTGTCCGTCCTGTCTGGATTTCTTTCTGGGCAAACTTTTGACCGTCATGCAGCCCCCTTGAAACCGAAATCAAGGACAAACCTCGGGTGAGGATTTTTCGATGCTCACCGTGCCGGAGACGCCTGGGCTGTCTCAGACTCTTGGCAACAACGCGACTCGCTCGTCCTCGCCATCGTTCGCTCACGTCTGTCTCATGCTTCCTCTCTCTGGCGGTATTCCGCCGTGCCTCCCTGCTGCTACAATTTGCAATCTCAGCTGGCACACTGTGTGCTCTCTGGCCTTATCCAACCCAGACTGCACGCGGATGTCCCCCCCGAGATTGTTCATCAGCTCGACCTTCCTGGGTGGCGCGCAAAAGGTTTCAGCCGAGGACGGGCTGGGGAGCACCGCAAGCGACGTGGATGGAGGGGGACAGGAATGGAGTTGAGATGGGCGCTCCCCGAAGCGGTCCCTGCAATCCCCTGAAGGAAGACTGAAAGCCAGCACCTCGGCCCCCCCCGTCCTTTCCACCAAGGGAAAAAGGACACTCCAGAGAGATCGGGGGACCCAAACATCCAGCATCTCGATCTTTAAGACACGGGCCCCTGACCTCTCGACTACTTCACAGGGACCTGTCTTTCATCTCAAATCGTTTTTTGACGGTCCCGAGGCCCGATAAAGCCCTCGGGATCCCGCAAACTCAGAAACACCTTCATCTCAATCTTTTCTAGACGCCAAATGTCTGGGGACCTGGAAATCGCGTCTGTCTGCGGGGTCGAAACGGCTCGACCACCCGTTGTCCCATCGAATCACTATGTCCCAGGGGGCAGGAGGAGGAGCAGCAGAAGGAGGAACCGGAAGAGGGGGAGGAGGAGGATGAGGAGGAAGAGCAGCAGCAGGAGGAGGTGCAGCAGCAGGAGGAGAGTGAGGAGGAGGAGGATGAGGAGGAGGAGGAGGAACAGCAGGAGGAGGAGGAGGAGGAGGAGGAGGAAGAGGAGGAGGAGAAGGAGCATGAAGAGGAGGATGAGGAAGAGGAGGAGGAGGAGGAGGAAGAGGAGGAGGAGGAGGAGGAGGAGGAGGAGGAGGAGGAGGACTGTCTCCTTGCGTCCTCTTTCCTTCCCTCTCTCCCTCCTCCTCACGTCTGCCTGTCTTTTTACCTTCGACCGCGCACTGCACCAGCGGGCGACTCCTGGAGCGCACGCTCCAAGACTCGCCTGGCCCCCAATTTGATTACCCCCCCGGGCCGACTGGCCCTGGGGGGGGGGCACGTTCGACCAACTCTCAGGCCATCAGGAATCAGGAATCAGGAGGAAAAGGAGGCGGATGAGGATGAGGATGAGGATGAGGAGGAGAAGGATAATGATGATGACGATGATGATGATGAGGAGGAGGAGGAGGAGGAGGAGGAGGCGGAGGAGGCGGAGGAGGAGGAGGAGGAGGAGGTGGAGGCGGAGGAGGAGGAGGAGGACGGGAAGGAGGAGGAGGGAGGAGGTGGAGGGGAGGAGGAGGAGGAGGAGGAGGAGGAGGAGGAGGAGGAGGAGGAGGTGGAGGCGGAGGAGGCGGAGGATGAGGAGGAGGCAGAGGAGGCGGAGGAAGAGGAGGAGGATGAGGAAAAAACGGAAAATGAGGATCAGGAGGAGGCGGAGGATGCGTCAACGATGCTGCAGATCACCCTCCCGTCCCATGAGTCCCCTCCTCAGGAGTCCCGAGAGTACGCAAAAATGTCCACTGCGGGCACTGGTCACCCCCCTCGGACGGACGAACGCCGGGTCGGTCAGCCATTCAGTTAAAACCTTTCGGGGTCCTCGATTCTCCTCGAGCCTCCTGGAACCTCGATGCTCCTCGATACTCCTCGAGCCTCGATCCTATCCTCGATCCTCCTAGAACCTCGGTCGAGGTGCGCCTGGCAGCCAAGCGCACTGTGGGCGTCGGCCTTATCCGTGGGGCTGTCCTGTTGCAGTGGGTGGCACACCTGTCAGCAGCGCACCTCTGAAGTCACCTGGGCTTTCTCGGGGGCCGCAGCCTGGAGACACACGTTCTGCTGGACCCCACTGGCAGGCCGCAACCTGGTCAGACAAATTCCGTGTGACCACCGCCTTGGGTCGCCGTGGGTTTTGTGAAGCATGCACTGTCCATCCTTCGGGCGGTTAGAAATTCGAAATGGTAGCCCGATGGCTCCATTTGTGACAGGAACTGCCCTCCATCCGAGCAGGGTTTGCGCAACCTCAGAACTTCTGTTCCCAAATGGGTTTGGACTTATATTGAACAGGGGCTGCCCTCCGAACTGTTCCAAATTAGAAGTTCAGGCCATCATTTTCGAGGACGTCTCCGGCGGGGGCTCCATTCACAAAAAGGAAACGCCTTCCAGTCATCCGTATAACTGGTGTTTTGGAAACGAATGTACATGTGTTGCGGTGCAACATGGGAGAACACATATATATATATATCTATATATATATACATATATATATGTATATATATATATATATAAATTAGTAGATGTATATATATATATATATATCGATACACACTTAAACGTGTGTGTATATACGTATATACGTACACATAGTTACGAACACGTATATATACATATTATGCAAGGGCCTGCGAGCACGACCAGGGATGGCGATCCCCCGCGCACGGGATGAGAAGAGAAGATGGCGAACAAAACCGCGCACGGGATATTTGGACAAGGTTAACGCATCGTGATGCTGAAGGCATACAGATTATCATAGTGATTTGCTAACTGAGAGAAGCTAATAATACAAAATAATGCACAATCTTAGCAAACGCAATCACCCCAGTGAGGCGGTTGGGGACGGCGGACGGTTCCAAAAACTTGAGCACAAGTGCGATCACGGTCGTGCTCGAGACCAGGCGCGAGGCACAATTAACTTCACATAAAAACATTCTGCAAGGGCCTACGCGCACGACCAGGGCTGGCGATAGCCCCCGCGCACGGGATGAGAAGAGAGGATGGCGAAAGCCCCCGCGCACGGGATATTTTGACCAGGCTAACGCATCGTGATTTTGAGGGTATACATATTATCAAGGCGATTTGCCAACTGAGAGAAGCTTATCATACAAAACAATGCACTATCTTAGCAAACTTGATCACCCTAGATCTTCCCGTATTGGGATCTGGTGAGGAATCAACTTGGCAAGGAGCTGCCAAAACTGAACGAAGACTTGGCAGAGGCTCCGTTTAACGGGAGCAGCGGCAGACAGCTGGGCGTTAGCCATCTTCGCCAGCTGGCGTGCGAGGCGGCTGGTCTTTTCGTGGCGGCGCATGCTGGCGCCGCACTTCCAGCGGCCATGACGCTGCGCCTCGGCGAGGGTGCGGCATTCGAGGGCAAAGTAGGTCGACGCGCCTCCGTGCCTCAATGTGTGGGCATAGCCGCAGCCGCTGCGAGCCAGCAGCCCCGACTAGCTGTTTGAAAAGTGACCTCAAACTCGCGGGCTGTGAACGGGAAGAGCGGCCTGGTGGGCGGCGTGGCCGCCTTGAGGTCTCGAAGAAGCCGGGCGGCCCAGCGTCTGGATGCCGCGCCTGCGCGGTAGGTAGCCGTGCCGTCGTACTCGCCGGACTTCGTGACCACGGAGGGCGGGCAGTCCGATGGAGCGGCTGGCGTCAGGGTAGTCGAGACCTGGGGGTAGGCCGACGTCGCGGAGTGCCGGAGGCACGTGGCGTTGCAGGCCTTCGCGCCCAGCGGTTCCATGAGCCGCAGGTAGCCGTCGAAGGCCACTTCCGCGGCGGCCCCGAAGATGCGCGTGTGAGGTATCGGGGATGTGAGACCCTGGTCGATCATCAGCAGAGCGGCCTCCAGACGGCAGGGGCCCCGCTGCTCCCCTGGCGCCGCCCTCGTGAAGCCCTTGAGCGTGAGGCGGGCCTGGGGGGGCTCTAGCACGTCCTTCGGGTTGATGCGCTCCTCGAACGCATGCCCGTGCAGGGCCGCGCGCGCGGCGAAGATCCCGTCCCCTGACAGGAAGATGTTCTGCAGGTGGTCCACCGTGCGCTTGTCCCTCTGCTGCGCCGTGCGCCGCTGGTAGCGGTGCTTGTCCCCGAAGCGCAGCACCTCGGCGGCCGCCTGGGCGTGGTGCTGCTGCGTCAGCGGCTTCGCGCGGCGCCTGGCGAGGAAGTCCTCGCGGGCCACGTCGTTGTGATCGGCCCGCTGCCGGCCCGCCGTGGCCCGAGGGCGGCGCGGCCGCGTGCTGGCTGGCCACTGGTGGCGCAGCCGGCCTGCTGGCCGAAGCAGCGCCTGCGGTCGCGCTCGGCAGCCTGCGCCTGCGCGACGCTGCTGCCCCAGTCGAGCTGGTCTGGCCTCCATTCCTGATGGCCAGCGGGCGGACAGACGGGGTGTGGCGTCCGCTCCCAGTCGGAGCACTCGGCTGCGCCTGCCAGACGAGCCCCTCCTCGGCATTCAGGGCGAGAACCGTGGGGGAGTTGTCGAGGGAACGCGCGCAAGATGCCGGCCACATTTTGGGCCAGCGCCTGCGGATGCCGACCCGCGAGACGAGTTTTCCAGACTGGCTGTGCCCTGTCCGGGGCCGAGCCGCACCGGGCCCTCAAGGACCTCGTGAACATGGTCACGGGAGCAGCTGGGCCCCGAGGCCTGGAGAGGCTTCTGGTCGGTAACAAGCGTGGTGGGCTTCAGGTAGCGGCAGTTGTGGTGGTAATAGTGCATGTTGACGACGTAATGCTGGTGACGGGATGGAAAAGCTGCGACTCCAGGGCGCGTCCAAAGACGGGGTGACGAAGGATTCTCGAATGGCCATCTTACTCCGCACCGAACGCAGAGGCGAAGTGCGTTGATCGTGAGGGGCACAATGCTTGTCCCGACTACGCGCCGGAGTGGCCTGGCTGAAGGGGTTGCGCGGCGTGCCAAGATGGACATGCCACGCCCCGCGGCGAACGCTCAGAGAGCGGATTGCTTGGATGACGTTCGGGTTGGTCAGATCGTGCTACGCGCCCCGCGAGATGTCGACTGGGGCTCGGCTTTGGAGACCCTCGTCGAGGCGGGCGGCCGTGAAGCGGGCGCAGCCGGCATAGATGACCGCGTGCTGGACGAGTCAACTGCCAGACCCGCAGCGGGTTGCATGCTGAAGGTAGATCGTGCAGGAAGGTGCAAGCACGGCTGGGAGGTGGTGTGTAGTGGGGCTGCGCTGCCCGCATCGGCCGGCGCGCGCTTAACTGCTCCTATCCACTGAGGCGGTGCTGTGACGGAGCTGGTGGATTGAGGCGGAGGTGCAGAGAAAGGCTTGCAATCTGGTAAACGTGCGCACGGACTGAAACCGCATGCCAGCTGACCTGGCCCGCGTAAGGTCTCTCTATGTGAACTACCTCCCGTGTGACATTGCCGATCGTAGCCTGAGTGTCGTTTGGGGAACTAGCATCGGTGCTAGCGAGCTTGGCCATGCGCAGTGTGCTTGGCGCGCTAGTCTGCGCGTGCGCGGGCGCGGGGCTGGGCGCGGCGGCGCCCCGGCGTGCGTGGCACAATGCTTTGTTGGGCACAAGCGTGGCGTGCCTCTGCCTTTTCGCGCGCTCTGGCGCGCAGCTGAACGTGCTGATGCCCAGCGTGCGCCGACAGGCGCGTGGGTGCGCGCGGGCGTTGCGCGCCGCGTGTGCGGGCACTGGCGCCTCTAGGCGCTGACCGTGCCCTGGAATGCGTAGTGCGACGCCTAGGAGAGCCAAGACATCGCGCACCGTGCTCGCGCAGCTGCATCACCGGGCATGGGCAATGCCCGGGGCGCGCCGAGCAGCACGCTGGTGCGCGTAGGTAGCGTGCGCCGCGATGCCACTGCCGCGCGCTCGCAATGCGCAGTCGTGCTCCTCTCCAACGAGTCCTGAGTGATCGGACACTTGCCACTGAAGAGAGAAACGTGCGCACTTCTCTGCCCAAAACTGCCGTGGCAAAAGGGTGCACGTATTGCCGTGTGGCCGCGTGCCTAGACCGAATGGCACAGCGTAGGGCTTGAACGTGATCTTGCGGCTGAAGGCACGACAAACATCTCAGCGTGCCTGAAGCTACGCACTCTGTGCATCGTGCGGCCGACCGCCAGGGCACACCGCAGGCACTAAAGCGTGCGACACCAGGTCTTGTTGTCGAGTGAATGGCGCAGCTCTGCCCCGATTGCCTGTCAATCGTACTCAACATTGCTGCGCTGCTGAGTAAGTGAGCGGGCGGCGTGCCAGTGATGAGGCTGACAAATGGTTGTGGCCAGTGCCGCGCTCGTTGTAGTACGTCGATTGGGCCACTTCCCTGTTCCTTTGTCAAAGGTGTGTGCAAAAAGGCTTCCAGGCAACACGCGGCGCGCCAGCAGTAGGTGCAAGCGACCTGCATGGACGCCTCATCCTGGGAGAGTGCTGGTGTAGGTGGTAGTGAAGTCCCCGTCGAAATCCGCGTCGAGGAAGAACCCGAAGAACACGAAGTACGTCAGCTCGAAGTTGCCGAACTGGTCGGAAAAAACGGCAATTGAGCAATGGTCGTGGTGTAGCCGATGTGCTCGCTGCATCTGGACGTAGTGTCTGCAGCCCTCGCCGGATGCGTGTGGCCAGCTGCGGCCAACAGTCGGGACAAGCACATGCATCGGCGACATCAGGTTGGTGATGAATGGCTTATGCCCCCGAGCGCCAAGATGGGAAGCTTCCTGCATAAGAGTCCATCACGATGCGAATTGCGGAAGCGCCTTGGAGTTCGGGCCTGAGCAGGGGCGAACACCATGTTGAAGCAGGTGGCAGCAGCGGTCGTGCTGTTGCCCTTGACTGGTGCCCAAGGTGGTGAGATAGGTACATTGACATTCAGTGCTCCAGTTGAGTGGTGCGACGTGCTCGCAAGGACAGTCAGCACTGTCGCACACATCACGAGGCACGGCACTAGCCCACGGAGGAGCCTCGCACTCATGTCCGACTTGAAGCTGCGGCCAATTCCTGTGGGGTGCGATGGGTCGGGGAAAATCGTGGCGCTCCCGTGGGCGAGTCGCTCCACATGACGAGGAGGAGGAGGAGGAAGAGGAGGAGGAGGAAGAGGAGGAGGAGGTGGAAGAGGAGGAGGAGGAGGAGGAGGAGGAGGAGGAAAATAAAGGCCAGCGCCGCACTGGCTGAGGAGCCGGGCGGCTAGCGCGGGCAGAGCCGCAGGAGGAGGACTGTCCTGGTCACCTTCTGCAGCAGCTTCATGCCACCCGTGCGCCTCCACGATCTTCCGTAGTGCGTGTCGGGAGCCTCGAGGCGCGGCCACGGAGCTGGAGGACGAGGAGGCTGGGGAGGACGACGACGAAGACGATGAGGTTGGAGGACGAGGAGGTTGGAGGACGAGGAGGTTGGGGACGAAGAGGTTGGGGGATGGGGAAGACAAGGATGTTGGAGGACGAGGAGGTTGGGGAGAACGCCAATGTTTTTGCGCATGATGGGGCGCCCTCGTCGCCACGACCGGATCCGCTTTGAGATCTCGTCCAAAACTTGTTTCAGGGCGGGTCTGGTGTTCACTTCTCGGGACAAAGAGTGGGGAGTAGGACGGAGGAGAGGGATATGGACGAGGGAGATAAGAGGAGGAAGGCTAGGAATAGAAGGAGGAAGAGGTGGAGGAGGAGGAGGAGGAGGAGGAGGAGGAGGAGGAGGAGGAGGAGGAGGAGGAGGAGGAGGAGGGAGTAGTAGCATGAGGGAAAAGGAGGGGGAGGATGAGGAAGACAATAGGGTGGACGAGGGATAAGATGAGGAGGGTGGAGGACGGGAGAGCCGAGGAGACGACAAGGGATAAGGGGCAGGGCGACAGCAGCGACAATGACCATGAAGAGTGCGAGGACGAGCACGAGCGCGATACTTTGGAGGACTGTCACCGTCAGCAGCTGGGGGGCGAACGAGGCAGTGATGGTACCAAGGGCCTGGGGCCCAGGCGGGGGGGGTGGGGGGGGTGGCGCAGGGGGGCGCCCACAGCTCCCGAGAGCCCGGTGGCCGGGCCCCGGGCCTCGGGGCCCAGGGGCCTCTTGGGAGCCGGGGGCCTCGGGGGTGGACCAAGACCTCGGGGCGCCCTGGGCCTACAGCCGGACCAGGGGCAGAGGAGTACCCTTCAGGAGCCTGAGGCACTCTGCCAGCCCAAACACACCACAAGTCACAAGGCCACCGAGGGTGCCCGTCCCCAGGATGCCCAGGAACATGCGACAGGCACGAAGAACACGAGGGTACCCTCCCCGAGCCGACCTCGGTCTTATACTTCAGTCCGGCCGTGGTTGATATTGCAAACGCTGGGGGCGTTCTTGTTTTTGTTTTCTCTTCGTTTTCAACTTTTTGGTTTTCGGCCAACCCAAACCGGGCACACCACGGCACCCCCGAACAGAACAGACACGCAGCACAGCTCGGAGCCGAACCGAACACGGCGCGAGCGACTCCCCAAACGGAGCAAAAACCACCAACCCCCGGACGGAACACGACACGCCGATCTCGAACAGGGGGGCGGATCAAAAACGCTCCCAGCGTTGCTGACATCCCCCGAGGTCCCTGGGCCCCTCGGGGGCCCTCCTGAGAGCTCAGAGCCCGCAGGGCCCCACCAGTCTCGGGCGGAGACCGGGCTGCCTCCAGCCGTGGCCCCCTCCGTCTCCCCCCCCTCTCGCTCTCCTGGCCTGCCTCGCCGCACCTGCTCCTCCTCCCCGATGCCTCTCCGCCCCCGCCCACCTCACCTTCCCCTTCCTCCTCCTCGTGCATGTCCTCCGCTTCCTCCTCCCCCCGCTGCTCTTGCTGCTGCTGGTGTTGCTGCTGGTGTTGCTGCTGCTGCTGCTCCTCCTCCTCATCCTCTTCGTCCTACTCCCCCTCGCGCTCCAAGTGGTATTCCTGCTCTGCTCTTCCTCCTCCTTCCTTTCCAGCTCCAAACCCTCATCCTGCTACTGCTCCCATTCTCAGCCGCCTCCTTCTTCTTCTCCTCCTCCTCTTTCTCCTCCGCCCCCTCCTCCTTCTCGTCCTCCTCGTCCTCCTCGCCTTCCTTCTTCTTTTTCTTCCTCTCTCGTTTCTCCCTTTGGTGCTGCCTCTCGTTCTGCTCCTCCTCTTACCCTCCTTCCTTCCTTCCTTCCGTCCCTCCTTCCTTCCCTCCTTCCGTCCCGCCCACTTTGCTGCTTCTGATGCTCCTGCTTGGCGTCGTCGTCGTCGTCGTCCTCGTCCTCCTCCTCCTTCCTCCTCATGGTCCCGTTTTTCGCCTCCCCCGCAACAGCGTCGGTGGCAACGGCAATATGTGCGGAAACAGCTCGGCGCAGGAGAGATCCTTGGGGACCTCCACCCGCAGCGAGAAGCCGTTGCCGTTGGTTTCCCTCCCCTGCCGCTTTGCAAGCTAGTGCCGGGGCTCAAGGAAGCAACATCACTGAATGGCCCTCGCCGTCGTCAGTCCTGGAGCTCGGGGAGGAGGCGGAGGAGGAGGATGAGGAGGAGGAGGAGGATGACCAGTATAAACCCAAGAGGCATCAACGATGTTGGAATAAACCCTCCCTCCAAGCTCCCTCTTCATAGGCCCCTACAACGGTTCGTTTCCACTGAGGGAACTGCCTTGTTAGAAATCAACCGTTTGAAGACCCTGCAGCATGCCAAGACATTGTTCTCGGGATTCCAACGCCACGGATTAACTGACTGTTGCGTGTTGACGATCCAGAATCGTGCCAGAACGACATTCCTGGGACTTCAACACAGCGAATCAATGTAACTGTTGCGCCCGGGCAATCCTGAATCCTTTCAAAAGACCATTCCTGGTACGTTGATGATGGGAATCTGCGGAACTCTCGTCATTTGTTGAAACGAGTATGCGCGGCGCTAAGGCGATAACCATATTTTGAAAACGACAAGCCCTCAATCCGTGAAGCTCCTGCAAATTTCTGCAACCGAATGTGCGCCGCGCTAAGGCGAGAACCACATTTTGAAAACGACCCGCCCTCAATCCGTGAAGCTCTTGCAAATTTCTACGAACAAGCGTTCGCCGCGCTAAACCGAAAACCACATTTTGAAAACGACCCGCCCTCAATCCGTGAAGCTCTTGCAACTTGTTACAACGAATGTGCGCAGCGCTAAGGCGAGAGCTACATTTTGAAAGCGACCCGCCCTCAATCCATGAAGCTCTTGCGAATTGCTAAAACGAATGTGTGCCGCGCTAAGGCGAGAGCTACATTTTGAAAACCACCCGCCCTCCATCTGTGAGACTTTTGTCAAATTTGTAAGCTTCAGAAATCATACGTGGTGAGGAAGTCTCAGGCGAAGCGCCCGGCCCGCCCTAACAACTGGCCTCGGGGTGCGACAGGGAGAAGTTATTTATAAGGAAAAGGACTGGAGGAGGAGGGTGCGGAGGAGGAAGAGGAGGAAGGAGGAGGAGGAGGAGGAGGAGGAGGAGGAGGAGGAGGAGCAGGAGGAGGAGGAGGAGGAGGAGAAGAGATTAGGAGGAGGAGGAGGAGGATGAGGATGGGGAGGAAGGAGGAGGAGAAGGAGGAGGAGCAGGAGGAGGAGGAGGAGGAGGACCTGAGCAACCGCCCCCTTGAAAGACGAGCGCCCCATGTGCCAACCAATTCGGGCGAGCCCCCTGTCTTGACAGGGACCCGCCCCACACTCTCGCAGCTGTTAGTCATGCCAACATGTCTTGTCATGGGATTCGAGGAAATGTGAAGGGAGAGCCCCAGTGTGAAAAGGAACTGCCGTCCATCCTCGAAGCTGCTGGACATATCATAGCCAACCAGCAAATTCTGAAGATATCTCAAACAAGAGATCACAACTTTGGGAACAACGCTCTCAATACACGTAGCTGTTGCAACCGTGTGCAAACCAAGCTGCGCCGCGCTGAGGCGACAACCGCTTTTAGAACACGGCCTGCTGCACATACGTATAACGGTTGAACAAAAAGGTATAGACCTTGAGAACGTTTAAGAGGAATGCGCGCGGCGCTGAGGCGAGAGCCACACCTTGAAACGAACCGACCTCATTCAGTACAGCGGTTACATGTTCGGAGCTTTCGGGTCATTTATTCCCCAATCAGAGCTTGCCTCTGTAGGGGTCCTAGCGGACTCATATTGTTAGGTGAGGTTCGTCGCCGACTTCCGTGGCCAGCCCGGGTGCCCAAGTGCCCGGAAGCCCGGGTGCCCAGAAGCCCAGGTGGCCCGGGGTGCCCGGGGGTGCCCGGGGGTGGCAAGGTGCCTGGGTGCCCGGGGGTGCCCAGAAATGCCCGGGGTTGCCCGCAGGTGGCGGGGGGTGCCCCGGTGCTCTATCGCCCTATAGCCCTATAGCCAATAGCCCTAACAGCCCTACAGCCCTGTAGCCCAATCGCCCTATAGCCTCATAGCCCTATAGCCCTATAGCCCAATAGCCCCATAGCCTTATAGCCCTACATGTAGCAGCCCTATAGCCTTATAGCCCCATAGACATGTAGCCCTATAGCCCTATAGCCCCATAGCCCTGTAGCCCTAAAAAGACTCGTATAGGGTTTTTCTTCATTCTCATTGTGAGGAGGTCTGACGCGAAACACCCCGCCTCGACATGCCGAGCGGTGAAATGGCGTGAAACTATTGCAAGAAGCAGGGGTGAATGATCAGCAGGGGGGAGGAAGTAGGGGAAGGAGGAGGAGGATGAGAAGGAGGTTTGAGAAGCAGGGGGCGGAGGACGGAGCAAAGAGGTGTGTGGGGAGAGGAGGAGGAGGAGGAGGAGGAGGAGGAGGAGGAGGAGGAGGAGGAGGAGGAGGAGGAGGAGGAGGAGGAGGAGGAGGAGGAGGAGGAGGAGGAGGAGGAGGAGGAGGAGGAGGAGGAGGAGGAAGTGACGAGGGATGAGGGAGGGGGATGCTTAAGGGGAGGTGAGGTAAAGAGTGAGAGCAGGCCGATAGGAGATGAGGATACTGATGAGGATGATGACGAGCCACTGATGATGACGAGGAATAACTGGATGAGGAGGAGGAGCAAGAGGAGCAGGAGGAGGCCGCTATAATCCCTGGGTCGACTAGGCCACCTGCGTACATACGCCTGAGATGCTGACGATCCGTTTGCCGCGGTACAGCGATAACTTGAACCGCGGGTAAACGACATTGCTATCTTGCTTCTTTGCCGCTCTCGCCACTGAGTATAATGATTGGAAGTTTACGATGTCTTTCTTAAATCGAGGATGCAGGACGAAGAGCATCCTCCTGCACTCAAGTGCGGCCCGATCACCAAGCTCTGCTCCGACGCCGCTGTCTGTCAACTCTTACCCTCAATTTTCCTCCTCCTCATCCTCCTCCCTCTCCCTCCTCCTCCTCCTCCTCCTCCTCCTCCTCCTCCTCCTCTCCTCCTCCCTCCTCCCTCCCTCCTCCCTCCTCCTCCTCCCTCCTCCTCCTCCCTCCTCCCTCCTCTCCTCCTCCTCCTCCTCCTCCTCTCCTCCTCCTCCTCCTCCTCCTCCTCCCCCTCCCCTGCTGTTGCTTCCCCTGCTGCCCGCTGCCCCTGCTTCCTGCCCCCCCCCCTCCCCCCAGGCGCTGCCGCTTCAGGCCGCCGGCTGCCGTGAACTTGCTCATCAGGATGGCGTTCTCGAACAGCGGCCTCCCCCCCCCAGAGAAAGAGAGAGAGAGAGAGAGATAGCCTTAAGTCGGGCCTGTCCCTCTCCAGGGGGGAATATTCAAGAATAGTCAAAGAATAATATGGGGACGGTTTTTTTCGATCATTTTTGCATCTTTTGGGGCACTGTTTGGGTATTTTGTAAAAATACTTTTCCCACAACACCCTTCTGTAGGGGGACACGCCCGACCTGGAGATGGCCGCGGTGCGCCCGCGGCGCGCCCTTCCCCTTGGTGGGAAGGGCGCGCCGCGCTGCTGGGAGGCAGACGACAGGGCTGGGGACTCGGGTCAGCGCCGCCTTCGACGCAACCGAGTCCCTAGCCTCGGGCCCCCTTCCCCTTGGTGGGGGCACGTCGGGCCCTCGGGGCCGTCCTCGGGCCCCGGGGGGCCGGGGGACAACACGGGCCGGGAGGAAGAGCCAGCCCCGGAGCGGGAGGGGCTGGCGGCGCGCACGCGGGGGTAGGGGGGACGGGGGAGGAGGAGGGGGAGGAGGAGGGGGAGGAGGAGGAGGAGGAGGAGGGGAGGGAGGAGGAGGAGGAGGAGCAGGAAGAGGAGGAAGAGGAGGAGAAGGAGGAGGATACGACGCTGGCTGAGCTTCTCAATCTGGGCGCTGCTCCCGGGCCTCGGACTCCGGGGCCCGCCATCCCGCCCCCGGCACTGTCGAGCACGAGTCCGGGGCGAAAAAACTGCCCCCAGGGAAGGGGTCGGGACCGCCCGTGCGCGCCGCGGGGGAGAGGGGACGGCTTCTTAGAGAGGAGCCCGCTTCTCAGAGGGCGCCGGCCTCACATCTGCAGAGAGGGCTCGCGCCTTCCGGGAAGCAGGGGCGCTGCCAAGAAGCCTTCCCCCCTAACCCCTGCTCCCCTTCTGCACATGGCTGAACGGGGTCGAGAGGACTGGGGCCTGGATGCTCGAGCAGATCGAGGCGTCGGAGATCTGGGGATCAACGCTTGAAGGGGGGCGGAATCGTTGGACGTCTTTGTCTGCCCTCAAGAAGGCCTCTTGGGCCCAACTTCGCCTGCAATACGGAAACATACGAAACAAGTCCCTTTTGTTTTTGACGATCTAAGCCAAGCCGGGGTCGCTGGACGCCTCTTATAGCCGACATCTGGGCTCGCCTGGGGCATTTCTCACAATTAACAAGTCGACGCCGAGTTGGCCAGGACTCATTTGTGGACGACCCTGGGCCCAACTTGAGCCCCAAAACGGGGCCCGTACTGGCCCAGATCTTGGACCAATTGAGATGATGTTCGCACGGGGCTCGGGACCAACACAAGAAAGCTCGCGCTTGGGCCGTCTGGAAGCCTGCCTGGGCCGTCTCGGGCTCACCTTCGCCACTTCTGGGGCCCTTTTTCGGAGCCATCTTGGGCCCTTGTTGGCGCCTTCTGGTAAAGCTTCTGGTCGTCTTGGGGTAACTCTGGGGTGGGTTCTGGCTGCTTCTGGCCTCCTGCTGGGGAGACGGACCAAGAGTCTAAAGAGCCAGCGTCCATATCGTTGATCCGTTGATAATGGTGCCTTGCCGACGGCCGAGCGACAATTTATCATCGATCAGTCACAGGGCATACCTGAGTCCAATCGTCGCAAGAAACGGGACGCAGCAAGAAATACAAAACACACCTGCGGGGCCGTCTTTTCTGAATATCTTCAGCCAATCCTGGCTTGGAGACGTATTCGCCTCTTCTGGCGAGAACTGGAATGAGCGGCTGGTGATCGCGAAACGTCTTGAACAAACAATGCGACCGACGGTTCCCTCACCATGGGCCTGGGGCCGCCCGGAAAATAGCTCAAGACTGCCCCCCTCCGCCGCGCACAAGCATATAATGGCTATAAGAACGCAACAGCATACATCTGGAAGAAGCCCCAGTGGTGGCTCGACAAACCAGAGACAGGCCTGGGCCCGATAATGGCTCAGGGGAGAGCCCACGAAGACTACCAGAGGCTCGAACAGCATGACCGCTGGAACAGTCAGCACACCACAGCGCATTGCCCCGTCCAGTTGCATTCGCGCGATTCGCTGTGTCCTGCGCTTCCTGCCACCGCATGCCTTGCGCTTGCTGGTATTTTGGCCCGAATGTGCCCCTGTAGTGCAAAGTATCTCTCTGTCTGTCTGTCTGTCTGTCTGTCTGTCTGTCTGTCTGTCTGTCTGTCTGTCTGTCTGTCTGTCTCTCTGTCTCTCTCTCTCTCTCTCTTTCTCTCTCTCTCTCTCTATCTTTCTATATAGTTGTGTGTGTATGCACATGTGTGCATGCACACATATGTGTTATACATGCATTGAAACGATATGATACAGATATCCGCCACTGTGGGCGCGGAATGGGCCTGTCCTCAGGTCATTTGCCCAATCCCCTGAACCTCAGTCCTCGATCCTAAGAGTCATTCAGGGGCCGAGACCCCGAATTCACGAATCTCCTTGGGCTTGCCGCGTGCCCCCTGGGCCTTGGATCGTCTTCTCGCGTGACTTTTTTTGGCCCAGGAGGGCCTCAAGGCCTTCAGAGGCCCCCAAGACGATCCAACAGGGCCCGGAGTCGCCGAACGATCGCTTCAAGATGCCCAAGATAGCCCCAAGACGGCCTCCCAAGAGTGCCCAAAGAGGCCACACATTTTGTTCAAAAAATAACAGAAAGTGTTTGACAATTCTTGGTCGCCTCGCATGTTCGGCTCTCCGACGCTCTCATACGGCCAGAAAGGCCCAATACTGCTCAAAGATGACCCAAGAGGCTACCAAGACGGCCCAAGTTGGCCCCAAGACGGCCCCAAGGGCGCCCAGGACAGCCCAAG